CGTGGTGGCGGGGGAGGGGGGATCAGCCAGAGGCAGGATTCGGGGAACTAGCGCCATCCCCCCGCCAAGGGTCCCGACTCCGGTCTCCTCACTCACGCAGGCCTGCCTCAAACAGCTGGCAGCGCTGTACTCGGCTTTTGCTGTGCCTAACGCTTGGCTGGGGAACCCCAGGGGGAAGCTGACGGGCCCCAACCCTCTGGTCCCCCGCCCAGAGAGGGGCCCCGCTGCCGGGAAGAGTTAGGGGAAGGAAGTTGATCTTGCAGTCGGTCCTAGGGCGCCATCTGGCGGCCTCTCTGGAATTGCAAGGAGATCCGTAACCATCCTCTCCGATTCTAACTCCTCCCCTGGAAGAGACTCTCTGGACCTAAAACGTGTTCTATAAATGGCAGGTTCACAGCGGGCCAGACTTTCAGACATGACTGAACTCAGGAGCGCCGGGCCTGGAATGGCTTTGCTCATCCGTCCCAGAGACTTGGGTATTAGAATTAAAAAGGTATCCACAATCTTAATAGTTCAAACTTCCTCCGATGCAGGAAATTGCCTTTTATATAGTCCCCAACGTCCGCTTGTACACTTCTAGTGGCAGCAAGGTCAGTGCCGGAGTTCACAAAGTACAACTCCGAGGCTGGACATCTCTGCTCGGTAGAGACTCTCTTTAGGAATTCCATGAGTACCTCCATTCCTGGAGTCATCCTACCTTGGGCTCAGAGAACACAGGCTGTTTTTTCAGATCTTTCCTACAACTTTCCCCTAACCTTTTTTTTTTTTTTAAATAGATTTCAGAGAGGAAGGGAGAGGGGGAGAGAGACAGAAACATCAATGATGACAGAGAATCACTGATCAGCTGCATCCCGCACACCCCCACTGGGAATCAAGCCCACAACCCAGGCATATGCCCTTGACCGGAATCAAACCCGCCACCCTTCAGTCCGCAGGCAGACGCTCTATCCACTGAGCCAAGCCAGCCAGGGCTCCCCTAACCTTCTTAATAATGGAATTACAGGTATGCACTAGCTCTGCATAAAGGAAGACTATTATGGCTCTTCATTTGGGCTATTTCCTGTTACTTCCTCTTCCACTTCACCTTGCCCACAAGTGGAATGTGCCAGGTACTATATTAAGGTACTTTACTATAAGTTCTTGTTCTTCCTTCCAACATCCCTAGGAGATAAATATTACCTTACTTTACTGATGAAGAAATTAAGTCTCAGAGAGGCGAAGTAACACAGCTAGAAAGGACAGAGCAAGAATTCAAAGCCAGTCTGTTAACTGTAGGATAAAGCTCTTCCCCCACAAATTCATACAATACATAGAGTGCAGAAAATAGTATAATGAACCCCCATGTTCCCATTAGTCAACTCCAACAATTCACAATGTTGGCCTGGAAATTTTAACTGACTCAAGGTTTATTGTCAGTTGCTATAGCCTCATCTAGCTGGGCTTAAGAAACTTCTTCATTGTTTGTTCCATTTATTTCCAACCTAGTGGTTATTTCTGTTTTTGTTTCTAAAGTGACTTTAAAAATATATATTTCCATTGATTTCAGAGAGGAAGGAAGAGATAGATAAAAACATCAATGATGGCCTTATCCCGTTTGGCTCAGTGGATAGAGCGTCGGCCTGCGGACTAAAGGATCTCAGGTTCGATTCCGGTCAAGGGCATGTACCTTGGTTGCGGCCACATCCCCAGTAGGGGGTGTGCAGGAGGCAGCTGATCGATGTTTCTCTCTCATTGATGTTTCTAACTCTCTATCCTTCTCCCTTTCTCTCTGTAAAAAATAAATAAAATATTTTTAAAAAACAAACAAACAAAAATACCCCATCGATGATGAGAGAGAATAATTGATCGGCTGCCTCCTACATGCCCCACACTGGAGATAGAACCCACAACCCAGGCATGTGCCCTAACCGGGAATTGAATCGTCATCTCCTGGTTCACAGGTCAATACTCAACCATTGAACCATGCTGGCCAGGCTATCTCTGTTTTTGTATGCAGCCCTAGGACCTGGCCCAAAGCAGAGGCACCATAAACTCATTCTATTCATTCACCAATAAATAGTGAGGACATACTTTAGAAAACAATGTCCTTGTTTGAAGATTAAAATCAAATGGAGATATGTCAGTTGGTGGGTGATAAGTGCTATGGAGAAAAAGTAGGTAAGGGGGCAAAGAGTGATAAAAGTTTTATATGTGGCAGGCGGGGAAGGCTTCTCTGATAACATTTGAAAAGTGACTTGAAAAAAGTGGACTGAGTTATATGGATATCTGGGGGAAGAACATTCCAGGTGCAGGGATTAGCAGTGTACAGGTCTGATATGAATGTGTTTGGCATATTTGAAGCATAGTAAGAAAATTAGGTAGGTGGGATAAAGAACTTTTTATTTATTCTGAATGAGATGGAAAGCCAGGTTTTAAGCAATGAAGTGAAAATGGGTTTTAAAAAGATCCATTTGGTTTCAATGTGGAGAGAATAGAGATCATGGAACTAGAAAACAGGAGGGTGACCAGTGGTGGCTGAGGAATTGGATGTAGAACATGAGAAAAGAGGGGGTCAGTTTGGCATAAGAACCTAGAAGAATGGAGCTGTCCTTTAGTGATATGGGGCAGACTGGGGGAGGAGCAGATTTGTGGGGATGGGGGGTAATCAAGAGTTTTTACTTTTAAGTTTGTTATGTTTGAAAGCCAGTGAGGCATACAAGTGGAAATGAAAGGGGTAGTTGGACATAGTGTAATGGATGGTATTTAAAGTCTTGACAGTGAACAACATTATCCAGTGACTGAGTATAGAGAAAGGACTTGAGAAGCTCTGGGGCATTCTACTAGTAATGTTCAGAGGCTGGAGATGAGGAGCCAACAAAGGAAATTAAAAAGGCATGGCCAATGAGGTAGGGGAGAACAAAGAAAATAGTGTCTCAGAAGCTTGAGTGAAGAATATTTCAAGGAGGGGGTGTTTACTTGAACTAAAGTTCCTTCTCCGCAACTGAGGCCCAGGGCTGAGGGGTTCTGCTTCTCAAGGCCATTCATCTCCCAAAGCAGTGAGCCCTAAGCAAAGGTAAATACCCAAGTGCTGCGATAGCCACATTTTCTGTTGTTTCTAGGATTTTTTGGTGTGTGTGTGTGTGTGTGTGTGTGTGTCCATTGGAATTAATTCTGTACAGTTAGGGGTACTGACACCCCATAGTCAAAAATTCATGTATAACTTTTGACTCCCCCCCCAAAACTCATGCAAGCTTCTAAAGGCAGAGCTTGTGGGTAGGGCTCAGATGGTAGAACAGAGACATCATAACTGTTACCAAGCCAAGAGCCTTAGTGTCTACCTGACTGTAGATCCTGGTTTTTCTGCACTCATACAGAAAAGTGCAGCCATACTCCTAATTTTCCCATGGGCAGGGTGGGAAACCAAGGATAGTCTGGACTACTTGGGGAAGAAGGAAGGGAAGAGGTAGAAACTAGTATAGGAGTTTCAGGTCTCATGTTAGTATTTTTCCACATCAGGCTAATCCCATTTCCAAGGCACCCCCTTCTACACCCGAGGGAGGCACTTACAGAGGTTCAGACTCCCAGAAACATCTACGTGGCTGTGCTGAGCAAAGGGAAGCCCCGGATGCTAAATGATCACATAGCCAGCTGGGCCCAAATGAAGAGGGTGAGTGTCCCTAACTCTTTCTGAGGGGGTCAGCTGGTAGTTCAATAGGGTACCACTCCCTCCCCCTCTGGGGGAAGGGACCATTATGGAGGAGGAAACCAAGATGATGTAGATGCTTCACTTGGGAAAGCTTAATACATAGTATTCTGCATCCTGCCCATAGTACCTAAGCTTTGCAGGGGCTACACAGCCTGCCTCATTCACACTCCCACCTGATGCAAAGGGAAAGAGGAGGGGTTCTCCAATCATGCTTCAGTGATTGGGATGGATGGAGGCTGTGGGGTGGAAGAAATGGTCCCTCCTCAATTTTGGACCAAAATGAATGTCCCTGTGCCCACATACACATGATCACAGCTATTGGCAAGATGGCCCCCTCATATGCCCATAGGCTCCTTTTGCTCCTGGACCATGAGGCACATTAGAAGGAAAACTTCTGAATAACTACAGCTCAGCTCTGGTTTCCCTTTGACCTCAGTCTATGTTGTCTCAGGTGTCTTCCTTGGAGCAGTTAGGGAAGAGGACAACTGCCCAAACCCCTGGCACATCCCTGCTGGCAAAGGTGCACTGCTGTGCTGATGGTGGTCATTGGGCAGCGGAAAAGGAATCCTGACCTCAGTTCTGCCATCTGGCTGGCTTTTGGCCTGTGGCCACATGGACCAGACTGTTGGTAGGTTCAGTGTCACTTCTGTTCATGCAAGGTCTAAGCCCTGGGTATTCTAAGAGCATGGTGCCCACAAGTTCAAGAAGGAAACCAGAGGGAAAGGTATTAATGGTACTAAGACATTTATTACATCATAAAAAGTCCACTGTTGTCGTTTTTCCATATGTACATGTTCCTGTGGGCAGTCCCCCTGTCCAGCCCCATCTGCCCACCCTCAATGCCAATCAGCTCTCCAAACTGACCAACAAATTAATAAAAGAGGAAGAACTGGAGGAGGTGGCCCAGGGCTGATGGGAGTGGGGATGGGAGAGGGAAACAAAGTGCAGAGTGGTTAGCTTGGCTCTCGATGCCTAACCATGGGCAGGAGGGACACAAGGGCAGGCACTGCAGGGCTGGCACAGTGATGCCCCCCCAGAGCTACCAGGCTGCAGGTGATACCTGAGTGTGCTCCCAGGTTGGACCCCCAAGAATGGAGAGCAGAGGAGGAAGGTCCTGCAGCCGGATTGTGGGTCCCAGGAAGGGCTAGAAAAGTTCTGTTTTTTAGGTCCCCATACAAGTAGCAGCGATAGCAGCTCGAGTTGGGCCTGAAGAGTGTGGCCCCTGGGACAGCTGGAAAGGGGACCACGGACAGGTCCTGATCTCTGAGGGGCCTATTTTAGTTAACCTCAGAGGTGGGCATGGGGTCTGTGGGGCGAGGTGTGGCCAGGAGGGGCACTGGTGAGGTGGCTTCAATGAGAGCAGGGTTGAGGATGATGGGCAGAGTCATGGGTGGTACACCCACCTGCAGTGGGGAGGCCAAGGGCTGCAGGATCAGTGGGGGCTGAGCCAGGGGCAGAGGCCCATCTGGGGTCGGGCTCAGCCTGCTGGGACTAGATGCCACTGGTGATCCAGGGGAGCTGCTGTTGCCAGGTCGGGGGCCCTCGGACTTCTCAAAGTCTATAGTGAGAGTCAAAGTCAAAGGTGGCTGCAGTCAAACTCCCTCATACCAATCTTTGCTCCTCCCCATTCCTGTGAGCAAAATGACCCCTCCCAGGCTAAATAGTTGGGAGTCTCCCCCTGAAACTCATTCCAATGCCCAGCTACCTTATCTCTGTCCTCCACCTCCTTTGCTATACTTCTAGTTAGGTTAATTTTGGTCTGGTCTTTATTAGAATCCATGAAGGTCAACCTTTGCATATTCTCCAAGTCCCAGACCCAGCTTTCTCTTCCCAAGCCTGAAAATCTCAAGCAGCTAGCTCCATTATAGCTTATTTGATCCTGCCATTTCTGATAGGAGAGCAGGCAAACAGGATTCTCAGGGTCTCCCCGCCCCCTGGCTCACAGCCCATGCTCAGCAGCAATCTCAAGCTACCCTGGGCCTCCTCTTAGGCCTCCTCTTTCCTGCTCAACACCCAGCAGGCTGGCCCAGAGGGACTCACCACAGGCTCCCAATTCAGAGGGCATCTCTGGGAGAAGTGGATGGCCAGGTGTTCTGGTGTCCCCAGCAGTAGGTGTCAGGTGGGCTGAAGGTAGAGGTTTTTGGGCATGAGGCTCCATAGGCGTGGGGTCTGAGGAGGACAAAGAATCCAGATGGCAGCTCTTAGAATTTCATGCCCTGACTACCCACCAGTCTTCCCACCCACCTACAGCACAGAGAACTACTGAGCTCCAGACTTTCTGATGAAGTTGGGCTGAGCCCCCTACCCTGGATGACAGTCTGCTTGAAGAGCTCATCTCGTAGGTGGGGCAGAAAACAGTCGATGCGCTCCCAGGTAATTTCCCAGAGGGCTGAGGGGCTGCCTCCTCGGGCATCTGCACTGTGGAAAATCTCCGCTGTGTCCATCACCAGAAGCATGTTCTTCAGAGACTCAGGGATGGCCTCTGACTACAGGTGGCAGTGGGACCATGAGAATAGAAAAGAGGGCATGGGAGAATATGGTAAGGAGGTAGCCACCAAGGGGGGAAACAGTAAGTCTTCCCAGCAAGTGGGAGAGGAAGCAGGCAGCAGGAGTCAGGCTGAGGTAGAACATACCAGTAAATCACTGGAGCCTGCATGCATGTACTTGTCCATGAAGTCCAAGATGGTCAGCCAGAGGGCCGCAAAGGTAGAGAGTGACAGCAGTGGAGACAGGTGCTGCAGGAAGACCTATGGCCCACCAGCCCCTTTCAGCCGAGAGTAGGGTAGGGGCCTTCTATACCCTTCTCCAAGGCTGGGAGGCAAACCTGTACTATCTTGCATGGGAATCTTAGGTTAGAAATGCCTCTGAATTCCAGAAATGTCCCAGGTCCCTAAGTCCCACTGAGTCTCCATAGCTTGGGTCCTGAGCACCTACATTGCATCTCTAGGTCCTACCAGAAGCCTTGGCTTCCCTCCTTGTGAAGAGGCAGGAGAGTGGGTGGGTGAGGGTGGGAGCAATACCTTAGAGAGCAGTGTGGAAGCCCTCATCCGGGTCTCTTCCATCCCACCCACATCTGCAGGGCTGATGTTCTCCAAGAGCTTGGTCAGTAGAGGAAACAGCACCTGGTAGGTAAACAGCCAACATCTCCTAGCAAGGTCAGTGGGCAGCCTTGTCCCAAGGAAGCCAGGGGCTGGGGTGGATGAGTATTGAGCAGAAGGGGAAGGTCTGATGCAGACTGAGGATTGACATTGGGCTCTTCAGGCTGCCTTGTTCTCCTTATCTTAAGGATTTGAACTTTACCTTAAGACTAGAGGGAAGTCTGCCTGGCTGGTGTGGCTCAGCAGCTGAGCATCAATCCAGGAACCAAGAGGTTGCCAGTTTGATTCCCAGTTAGGGCACACGCCCAGGGTGTGGGCTTGATCCCCAGGAGGAGTGTGTGTAGGAGGCAGCTGATCGATGTTTCTATCTTTCTATCCCTCTCCCTTCCCCTCTCTCTAAAAACCAATAAAAACATAAAAAAAAAAAAAAATAAGCCGAGAGGGAAGTCCTACCTTGTTAAAGCAGGACTCCCATTCCAGGGCATCTAGCTTTTGCAGATCATGTACCAGTAGTGCTCGTTGCAGATAGGTCAGTGCCTGCATCCGCACCTGGCGCCGGGCATCACAGCATAGGCAGGCAATGCCTGAGAGCGAGAACAGACTCAGGATCCTTCAGGCATCCTGATCCTGGTACTTCCCAAGCTCCAAGTCCACCTCTGCCCCTGCCCAGCCTGCTCCCCCCAAGTTTACCCTGCAGTAAGGGGCACCAACAGTGGGCCCAGAGGGTGCGCGAATCCGCTTCGATCTTCTGGCCACTTGTCTCCAGGTGGCGCTGCTCCTCTGCCCATGAGCTGTAGATAGAGGCCGCCCGAATGTGCAGGGTGTGCATCAGGTCTAGCAACTGGGATCACAGGAGGGGCAGGACATGAGTGGGGTTAGGTCTGGTCAAATCCCCCACCCACTACTGTCCCTGACTGAGTCCTCAAGGGATCCCCTAGTACCAGTCACACCATACTTCAACCCTCTCACTGCTCCCTTCTCGACTTCATGAGCTAGTTGCCCCGTCCTGGCCAGTGTTTCCCAAAGTTGAGTATTAGTCCTAGTAGAGAAGACTTGAGGAGGGGTGTGGACTAAGTATTTAATAACACTGAATTACACAGTGATATATACACTTTCTTTTCAATTCTCTTTCACACCTGGTAATATATAAAACCTTATCATGTTATTTTAAAAACAGAAAGCATAAGTCAGGTTTGGAGGCTTTGATGGGTAATAGTATCTGGCTAGATTTAATAATTTGTTTTAATCATTTTTCTAAGGCTATTCTATTTAAGGCAATTAGTTTCCATTTAGTTAATGATATAAATTCTGCTCATAAAATAAATTTTATATGCCTTGAATAGACAGAATAACTCTGGAAGGATAGACAAGAAACTGGTGGCAGTAGCTGCCTCTAGTGAGAGCTTATTGCTAGGGACAGAAATGGAATGGGGCTTACTTTTATCTGTTTACCCTTTTGTACCATTTGAACTTTGTACCATGTGCATGTATTACTTATTCAAAAAATAAACCTTAGTTTAAATATTAAGCAAACAAAGACTTACAGGTGGGAACACTGTAGAGGTGGTGGCTGAGGACCTCGGCCCTTCCTCTCAGTCCTGGCTGTCCCTGGCCCCATCCACACTCCCAAAGTCAGGTGCAGGGAGAGAAGAGGAAGTAAAGGGTGCCATACTTACGTCCTGACTGACCTGTAAAGACACCGTATGGTAGCTGACAGGCACGCCTTCATCCTCATCGTCATCACTATGCCCTCCCCGAGTGGCATGTTGGCTAGAGGTTCGAGGCCGTCGAAGCACTGAGCCCTCCTTGGATTTCTTCTTGAAGCGGTTCCCTTTGCTGTCATATTTGTGACTCTTGCCACGTTTCTCTTGGGACTTGCACCCTGAGCAGAGTCAGATCCAGGTCACATTTCCACATCCATGGGCACATATCCCTGTCCCCCGTACATTCACATGGCTACTCCCCAACTGCCCCTTTGTCAGTTGACCCACCACCATTAAGACTGGCTTCGACAAAGATGCGGAGAGTCTTGACACAGAGCTCAAAGTTGTCAGGTGTGATGTGGGCAGCGTCACGCACGATGAAAGACAGTGATTCCACACACTTCAGCAGAGACTTAGTGTCATGAGGTCCGAGGTCCAGCCCCACTGTTAGACTGTACTGATTGACCAGGGGTGAAGGGCCTGGTCGACTGGACCCAGTCCCAAGCCCTGGCTTGGAGTTATCGATGTCATCCTTCCCCACCTGTAAAGTACACAGAGGAGCTGGGAACCCAGGCTTGAACCAGATCTTCCCCTGGATACCCTCTCAGAGGACTAGGAATCTTTCCCACAGGCCAAGGAGGGAAGTCTCATCCGCTGTCCATCACTTACCACTAACCAACCACTGTTGACCACGTCAGCATCTGTGGCTGATCGGTGGATCTTGCCAGGCCTGCCATGGTCAGCGTAGACCTCCGAGTCAGAAGTGTATCCTCGGTCCAGACTCGTATCATTTTGATGGTAGGATGGGAGTTCACTGTCTGATTGGGCCCCTGAACCGGCAGGGAGAAAGGCAGAGTCAAAGTGAGGATGGGGACACTGGGTTGAGGGAATAATTTCAGCTCTCTGAAGAAAGGCGCCGAAGCCTGGCTTCTCTTTCTTGGTCTGGCTTAGTTTCAGCCTGTCACCACAGGGCTAAAGGATGGTCTGGACAGCTTCTCTCTTGACCAAATAGGGCAGCAGGCTAATTTGGGTTCCTGATGGCATCTAGGAGCAGCTGTCAGGGGAGGGAG